GTCAAGAACTGCCGAACCAAGATTAAAACTAGGTTCCACACAAGGTTTGTGATAAAACTTTTGAAAAATTTGTTCATTCGACCATCCTACTGCTTCCAAAATGCTTGAGATGTTTACGTTACCATCAGCTGCATAAGATGTCGATGCTGCCCGCGTGCTATGACAGTGAAAAACAGTGGTGTCAACCCCTGCTATACTTAATAGCAATTTACACCAACGAGCAATAGTTGCCTTGCAAACGGGCCCATGGGGTCGAATAAAACTAACGAATAATTGTTTACAGTCTGGACTGCGGAGACTTTCAGTTCTTTTGACATACTCCTTAATATGGGTCACCGGGCATAGCTTTATTTCATGGGGATAGCGTTCATAGATAATGGGTGGAATATGATACCCTTTCCTAGTTTGCTTGACTTTGTTGGTGATCTTGAAAATACATTTGTCTTCTAAGAGTTCCATGTTATCCAGAATAAAATAGTAAACAGTTTGACAACGTTGACCACTTAGCAATAACAATAAGAAAGTCAGTCTTAGAGATAACTCTTTTAATGACAAATCAGCAACATTTGGTTGGCAACGAAGGTAGCTAAACACTGTACTAACATTCCAGACTGTGCGATATCTAGGTAAAGGCGGTTTCAGCTCGAAGATTTCTTTCATAAACCGTTTGACTATTGATAACTGACTGAAAGGTATCTTGTTATTCTCGATGAGTAAAATCGAAGAAAGTGCACTACAAGTTGTATTGATAGAAGCATATGAGAGTCCTGCATCAAAAACGCTTGTTAAAAAATCGATGGCAATAGAAACTGGAGGGGTAACTAAGTCACATTTAGCCTTCTTACAAAAGCCTGACCATTTTCTAATGTATGTGTCATATTGGGCCTTAGTACCCTCTCTCCATTATGCCATCATTATGTCAGCTGAACGTCCTGATATGCCAGATGTTAAGAATCTTTCCCGACACAAGACAAATGTGAAGTTCCAGTTTCTTGTGTAGAGGGTGCAACTGATTTGGGCAGGCTGGAAGGTGCAGCAGAGTCTTTGACGGTTTGCATTTCTGTGGGCTTTTGACTAGTAATGGTTGAAGAAGGGAGTACCAAGCTTGTGTGGGCCAGTTTGGAACCACTATCACACCTTTGGCTTTGTTGTGGATGATTTTTTGTGCAACATGAAGTATACAACTGAAAGGTGGAAATGAGTAAACTTTAAATTTGCCCAGGAAATTGAGAATGCATTGATATACATTGCATCTGGATCAGGTCTATATGAACAATATGCATTGAATTGTTTGTTCAATCTAGAAGCAAAGAGGTCAATTTCAGGTATGAAACCTAGTTGTGATAAAGAATTTTGCAAAATTTTTCGATCAATCATCCATTCAGAATCACTGTATGACCGCCTTGATTCTTTATCAGCTATTACATTTAAAGATCCTGGTAGATGGGCAGCTGTTGGCCATATTTTGTGAATCATACAAAACTCCCAAATAGCGACACATATTGAATGGCAATTGTCGCTGTGACTAGTGCCCATATTATTAATGATATATACTGCTGTGGTATTGTCAATCATTAACTTAGTATGTTTACCATGAAGGTGATGTTTAAAGGATCTTAGAGCAAAAAATGCAGCTTGTAGCTCTAGGGCATTAATGTGAAGCTCTGCTTCTGTTGGGGACCAATGGCCTCCTGTAGATTGCTATCCTAGTGCTGCCCCCCAACCTGTAGTTGAGGCATCAGAATATAACACAATATCAATTGGAGGGTGTTGGATAATATTGTAACTGGTTTCCAAGTTAGTGAACCACCAATTTAGCTCTTGTAGTCCATGTTGGGATATAGACATATATGCCTCAAAGTTACCCTTGGCTTCTTTAAGAGCACGGGTTTTGTCTTTTTCAAGACATCTATAATAAAGTGCCCCAAACCTTACAGCTGGGAGACTGGAGATCAAATGTCCAAGCACTTTAGCTACTAATCTTATTTTAATCTTGTTAGGTGTGTGTATAATACTCTCTATCAAGGATTTTAAGGAGGTGATTTTTTCAACTGGTAGTCTAATAGTCATCTGCTTCGAATTTATAACAAATCCCAAAATAATAATAGACTGGGAAGGAATTAAGACTGATTTATCTGAATGAATGGTAAAGCCAAATTGTTCAAGGATCTGCAAGGTGTCAATAATAGTACGGACACAGCCTTTGTATGTGCTGTTTTGCAGATATAAATCATCCAGATAACTACTAATAATGTGAAGCAGAAGTCGGATCTTTGCCAGAATTGGCTTCATAATCTTAGTGAATCTGCGAGGGCAGGAACAGAGCCCATTAGGGAAAACAGTAAATTTGTAAAGTTGGTCCTTATAAATGAACTTCAAAAACCGTTGGTGTTCTGGATGGATTTTTATGCTGTACTATGCATCTTTTAAATCTATAGATGCCATTCAACACCCTTTAGTAATAAGTTTCAAGATAGTGTGAATAGAATCCATTTTAAAATGAGCATATTTAACTGATGTATTCAATTTTTTCAGGTTCAAAATTAATCGTAGCTTCCCATCTTTCTTTGGCACAGTAAAGATAGGGGATACAAATTCAATGTCTTCAGGCTGTCATGTAACAATGACTTGTTTCTCTAACAAGGATTCAATTTCCTGGTCTATTAATGGAAGTTGATCTTGTGGTAGAGCATTGCCATAAGGGGTGGAATGTAGTATGGGGGGACTGTCTACAAAATCAATTTTTTCTCCAGAGATAGCTGTAAGTATATCCTGATCAGAAGTTATTTGTTTCCACTCCTGATAACACCTGGACAATTGTCCAGCTCTAAATTTTTTAGCTTTGGATACAAGATATGGTTTTAATGAATCATTTATAAATTTGGCAAAAGCAGTTCTATTTACCTGATTTTTTAATTTTTCTAATGTTTGGTAAATTTCTTTTTGTTTGACTGAGATTGGTTTTGTAGATATGGTTTCCGGGGAGGATGCTGGGCCCTCCCCTTGGTCCATAAAAAAGACCTGGCATTGTTCGAGGCGGTAGCTTGTGTGTGGTATGTTTTGGGCTTTGAGTAGTTCTTATTACTACTAGCCGCAGGTTTTGCAACTGTGTTCATGACCTTGTTTGTTGACTTAATGTCTTGGATAGTTTTAGGTAGGTCATCCCCAAATAGCATTTTACCAATTTTATTGGTACGAGAGCAAGCTTGTTGAAAATCTTTGTGTAAAAGTGGGCGTAGGGTATCACGCCTTTTATAGGATAACTCCTTACAGACAACACCTGTTAAGGCTACAGATTCAATCAATTGGGTAATGAGCCCTTTATAGTCAGGTAAAGTTTTCTTTGCTCTACATTCCAGCAATTCATTTACTGAAATAAGTGATGCAGAGATTCCTGCTAACAAAGCCTCCTGTAAGTTTGCTACCTTAATATCACCTTTTTTAGCATGTGCAGGTAGTTGACTCCATATTTCAGGATTGACTTTTGTTAAGTGCAATTCTTCACAATTTTGTGGTGATTTGTACTTAGAGACAATAGTTTTTAGTTTGTCTCTTTCAATTTCATCTGATAATCGCTGATCAACAATTTTAGCCAAATGTGGGCTAATTGGGGGGCCTTTTTCAGTTGCAGATGATAAAGCAGAGTCAATGCCTGTAAGCAAGGTAACATTGTCCGAGGTATCTTCATCGCTCGGATTAAAGTCATCACCTGCAAAAAGGCTTACCAGGTCATCAGAACAAGCCTGAATTCTATCATCATTAGTCCCACTTGTTTAAACTGATTGGTTTTCAATAACCTCCACATCCAACGTGTGCCCCGTCTGTGCAGGTTCTTTGACTATCTTTGTAGTTTCAGATTGACCTTCTTGGGTCGTAAGTTTGGCTCTCTTTGGAGCATGAGTGGTTTTTCTTCTATGTCTTCTTGGACTGTTATCAGGTTCAGAAACATATTCTTCTTCCGCAGCCGAATCAGGGCTATCTTTGTCTAACTCTAAAGCTCTCTTACGAATATTTTTATCACGGGGCCCTGAGTTTGACATAAATTTGCATAAAAGAGTGTTAGTTTGGTTTATTCCTTCACTCATAGATGTTAATAATGAGACAAGTAATCCTGATTCCATTCCCAAATGTGTGGGAGTATCGGAGGCATTTGTGGTGGCACCATGTGGTGTTGATTCGAGCGGTGGTGTCTCGCTCGACATCCTGCAAATAAAGAGCAATTTAATATGCAAAAGAGCAGTATACTTAGCTGACAGTGTGGAGCTGGAAAAAAGAACTTCTCCAGCCAAAGTTTTTCTTCTTTGATGCCAGATGGGTGCGGATTTCAATTTTTTATTTCAACAAAATAAAGCGTTCAAAAAAGGCTGCAAGCAAAGCGACACTCCTCTCTCGTACATCTCTGTAACAACTATGGCTGATGACGTAATAGAATTAGCCACACTTAAAGCAGACTGACTTCTAGGTAAGTTTTAACCACAGTGAAAGCCTTTTGACTAACATTGTTTTTTTTTCTTCTAGGGTGTCCTGGATTAAAATTCCCATAATACAGAATGTATTTGTGTTACCAAATACGGATGTTGCATTTTATTGCAAGAAGCTACACACAGTTGCATTCAATTGACATATGCATTCTCATGAGATCCGTTTTTAGATGACTGTGTAACAATATTTTATCATGTATTACTTGATTACCTTTAATTAATATCAGGCGCCATTGTGGACAAAAGTCTGTACCACGCAATATGATACAATTTTGACATATTGTATGTATCTCTAATACTATATCAGGTCTGATTTAGTTGTATAAAGCCTGTTTCCATTAAATATACTCCCCATGTTTTTATAAAAGGTCTGATCATACGTATTCTATTTATGTGATCTGAGTTTATGTAATTTCTGCTTTTTTTTCATTACATATTGTTGATATACAGTGTCTAGTGTATTAGATTATTTAGAAGATTGTTTTAAGGAAAAGCTCAACGAACCAACTGACTTAGAAGATGTACCAGTATCATCAAGGTATTATTCAAACCCAGACATTTATTTTTAGATAGGTATCATTGTGTATCAAAAAATAGTTTCCAAGTTTACTTTGACAAACAACTACACTTGTACTTAGGATAATATTATATGATTTGCAAACTCTAGGTATCACTGATATAATAGCAATAACTTATAATAATTTTACATGTATATGTTTATAGATTTGAAGTATTGCTCGGTGTTGGATCGAGCTTGAGACATCCATGTCTAACCAAAGATCAAAAATTGGATGGAGCAATAATGAGTCGTCTTTTTGCTCAAAAAATAATTTGGCTTTGCCCTTTTGAAGATCTTCCTTGTAGCTCCTCTAGTCAATTGACACTAGATGATCTGTTTGAGGTAAATTTTCTTCAGACTAGAAATGCAAGCCAAAAGTCTGCATGTCATAATGAGCATTTTTCTGCTTGTAGACAACAAAATAATCATTTACCTATGAATAACTGCATGATAGTGCTATTACTGAATATATAATATGAACACTTGGGGTTACAAGTATGAATCATAAAACTTGAGGTGTACTTTTCCTTATTTCCTTTCATTCTCACTCTAATATAGGATGATGAGCAGACACTTGAGATAAGCATTGGTGTGGAAAAATCAAATAAAAAGAATGCAGAAGCAATGCAAAAACTTCATGATGTATACCCAAATAAGACAGAATCAGAATTGCATTCAGCACTTACAGCTTCAAATGGCAATGCAGAAGATGCAGTACACTTACTGCTAGATGATGAAAATTTCCATCCTCTCCAAGATGATGTAGCATCCTCATCTAATTCAGCAGGCAATGATTTCTTATTTACATTGCATGAACCAGTGGATATAATTTTGAAGAATTTTGTTGGTAATGCTGACAATGATATTTGGGTGGATGTAAACAGAGATGATTTATGGTGTTTATGTTTGAGTTTCTACAAGATAGCATTAAAGCACCCAGACAGGCTTTCAAAAAATCTTTGTGTTAGGTTTGTTGGCTCAGGGGAGATGGGTATTGATGCTGGTGCATTGAGGAAAGAGTTTTTTTCATTGTGCTTAGATGAGGTGGTAAAAAGGTTATTTGAGGGTGACTTGGCTTTGATTCCCAGGCGAGGAATTGGTAGCAAGGGTATTCAGTTTGAGGTTGCTGGAGCACTGATTGCTCATTCTGTCTTACAAGGTGGTCCAGGCTTTCCTTTTCTTGCTGAATGGGTTGTTGATTATTTGCTTGGAGAAGATCCTTCTAATTTGATCGTTTCTAAAGAATATATTTCTCAAAGTGAAATGACCTTTAGACTCTTAGAGTTGATAAAGGAACTGGATAAGGCTGAAACGCCTGAAGCCTTGCATTATATTCTTGAAATTCATGCAAAACATGACTCATTCTGGGAAGTTATCAATGCCACTGAGTCAAGCACGGAAGTTATCACCGTTGAAAACAAAGGATGTCTTTTGCATGAGTTGATTTTCAATGAATTAATTCGACAAAGAAAAGATCAACTAAATGCACAACGAGATGGGCTACAGGTGTTGGGATTTTTGAACCTGTTGAAACAGCATTGCAAAGTGGTTAATCAAGTTCTTTGTCACCATATACAAGAAGTCACAGTAGAGCAGTTCATGTCATTTCTCATGAGCAACCCCAGTTGCCATGCAGAGAGACAAGCCTATCAATGGCTTCTCGACTATGCCACATCTTGTGATGGTGTAAAGGATGGAGATTTCCCAAAGCGTAAACTGAGCACTCTGCTGAAATTTACCACAGGTTTGTGGAATATTCCCCCAATAGAAAGCAAGATGACTGTACATGTCAAGTTCTTGAATGATGACAATGAAGAAAAATTACCAAAGGCTGGTTCTTGCTCTAACATCTTACACCTACCCACAGCGCATTCTTCCAAAAAATCATTCAACAATAACATGGACATTGCATTGAAGTATGGTCACTCGGCTTCACAGAATATTAACATTTTTTATGTCAATACTCACTTCAACAAGTTTATATTATGAACACAGGTTTTATTGTTCAACTATTAACATTTGGTGATTAACAGTTTTACTGTAAACATTTTGTTTGGGTTTATTTCAAAACATTATTTGATGTAAGAGTTTTACTTGGAAACATTTTTGCATTTTGCTTTGAAATCAACATTTGCATATATGGTTATATATGTGCTTTGAAGGTTTGATTGCATTATTTTTGAAAAGATGTATTTGTTATTTTTGAAAAGATGTATTTGTTGTATAATAATCTTTAACATGTATAATTGCACAAAGAGACAAGCTATTGCAAAAGTTGTTGGTATAAGCCTATCCCTTCATTGTTGTCATCTAATAAAGGGTTGATAATCTGTTCCAAATAAAGCTGCTGATTTTCATTTAACTGTACAACTGTTTCAGGAATAATCACATCATTATCTGTTCCCACATCTGGAAAGGGAGCATCTTCGTCAATTCCATACTCATCCCAGTTATTCACATAGCAATTCCTCAACAGAATGTGGATCAATATGTAGCAATCGAGTCATTCCATAATTCCAAAGCTGATGAGGTGTTCTGTTGTTAGCAGTAGAGATTGGGTGGTTTGCCCAGTCCCTTTCCATCTCACTAAGAGCTCTGTTTATTTGTGGTAAATATATATAATTGAGACTAAATAAGTGAAGCTCATTTAGGAGATCTAATAAATGATTATCTTCCATGAAGTAAAAAATGTTTTGATAATGTCTGACAACTATTCTCTTGACTTCACCCCAAAGACGTTCGATGCGTTGGTTGTGTACTGACTTCCCTGTAATCATGCTCCCTCGGTTCAGACCTTTAACATGAAGCATGTATCGGGCCACATCAACATTTTCCATCCCAAAATTTGATCAGACACGAGAAGGCTGACCATGAGTTGCAACAGTTACACCGAAGAAACACAATCAATCTGCTGTAGCCATCTATTCCTCGGTGAATGACAAATCTCCATCTGATCAGTTTGTGATGACCATCAATATGCCTATGATTGTAAGAAAAAAAATTCTTACTTTTTATAATTTTTTAAGTCGTTTTGATTTGCCAATGCAAATTATATGGTTTTGCCAATCCAAAAATGGCTAAGTTTAAATGGTCAAGAACATATTCACACTAATATTTATCAAACACCGGTACTTACCACAGCGAATTGGGTCCTCTCACATTGTTCTGTCTTCTCACAATGCTCACTGTTCTTCACAGTGCCCTGCTTATATATTTGAATATGTACAATGAGGGCCACTTCTACCTGAAATTGTCCTACCAGATTCGATTCTTCGTCGCTGAATAGTTTTCTCGCTTACATCAAAATATGCGGCAACTTCTTTCCAGGATCTTTGTATACTATACAGGGTTCGAATTAACAGATAGCGAATCGCGATTCGCTATCCATTCGCTATCCTTTTTTGCGTTTCGCTATTCAATTTGTAATACCGCCAGACACCCAAAACATTTATATTTTAACATGAGAACAATTAATTTGTGAGCTTAGCAGAATAAAAGTCGGGATAACTGGAAGGAATTTGAAAGGTGTGTCTTACAACCATTTTCGTCTAAGCACAAACAAGACATTTTCACGCGTTTGTTTACGTTTGTAATGTGACCTTTGTGGTTTGAAACAGATGTCAATGGTGCAGCACACGATTGATTAAAATTTGAAACCCGCATTTTTGAGAATATATTAGATTGACGTCACGCGAGATTACAACCCGCATTTTTGGGTTGCCTATGATTAAAATAGACAGCGCAATGTCATATTTTGATCCAGGTTGTATCAATTTTAATTTAAAACATTTAATTCAAATGATACAAGAGCAACAAAACTTGTTAAAATAATCGTTTCCATTTTAAACAGTAAACGTCGTGTTTCAAGCGCTGGCTGAGATTACGACATTCTTTCAAAATCCAATTAGCAATATTTCCATAAATAGCAACGTAGCAAGTTCAAGTAAATTCGAGATGATAAGACACGTCTACCCAGCACGCGTCAACCCAGCACGCCTAGGCGGTAAAAAATAAGACGTCAACCAAGGCACGCCTAGGCGGAGAGGACCTATAAATGTGTGTTGAAAATACTTCAAATGTAGTTAGATCTTGTAAGTTTGATTGTAAAGATGAGTTCCAAAGGGAAGGATCATAAAGCAGCACTTAAAACAGTACAGCGTTGGGAGAAGGAATTTGGTTGCAAATTCGACTATGATATGTGGGATGGTTTTGTTGTACGGATAGGATGCAAACTTTGTACAAAATGGGAGAGACGTATAAACGGTATGAAGAATTTTTCCACTACTTGGATTCATCCGGGTTCAGAATCTGTGAAAAAACATGCTGTTCAAGGGCACACAAACAGTATAGCTCACATGGAGGCCAAGCGAATCGAGGACAAGAGCAAAATGGGAATTGAAGCGTATATGAATCGGGTAGTGGATGAAACACCTATCGGTCAGAACTTTAAAAACATGTGCATGAGAAGTAACCAGAGAAAGTCTAGAAGCTGATTTAGCAAAAGCACGTTATTACTCCATTTTGAGTGACAGCAGCACTGATGTTAGCACAACTGAACAGGAATTAGTGTATGTTTTATTTTCAAGATGGAACACATGTCGTCAAATTTGCAGGTGTTGAATCGGCTACAACAGCTGATGCTGAAGGATTATTACGCGCAATGGAGAGTGCTTTAAGTCGACTTGGTATTTCTTGACCGCCTTGTTGGTCTCGACGTGGACGGAGCAAGTGTTAATATGGGCATACACGCTGGCCTTGGTGCAAAAGTTTGTGAATCTGCACCTTGGCTTGTTTTGGTTCACTGCTTTAATCATCGTATTGAACTTGCGTTGAAAGATGTTTTTGATGCGTCAGCATTTTTAAAAATTGATCAGATGCTCCGAGTACTTCATGCGCTTTACAATGCCAGTCCAAAACGCTATAGTGAACTAAAGCAATTAGCAGGAGCTTGGCAAACATCTATTCCAAAACCAACAAAGGCAACTGGCACTCGCTGGATAGAACACAAAGTCAACGCAATGAAAATAGCTTTAGAAAATTATGGGGCGTTTCTTAGTCACATTGAATCACTTTCTCAAACCGATTCGAATCCAACCAAGCGAGCGGAATTTGAAAGGGTATCTGAACAAATGGAAAGATGCTACATTTCCAATTTACCTGGCAATCTATTTGGATATCCTTTCTCCCATACATCGCTTAGGTTTGGGTTTTCAGCAAGAATTGCACGATCCAGTTAAAGCGGTTCGTAGAGTTAAGGAGTTTTCCTGGTCCATGATGAAATTACGTGCCTTAATAGAGAAGTCCCTCAACGATCGCACTAGCAAGCTCACTCATTACAAACGACTTATCGCTGAACTTGAAACCAACGAAAACGAGGAAACAGCTTATCAAGGCATTCCACTAGCTTGATTCGATTTTGTAAATGATGATGTTGCAAACCAGTATTCTGAAACAATAACTCAAATCGTCTCGAGCATAAAGAAGCGGTTTCAAGATTTGAATGCATCTCCAGTTTTTGCTGATATCACATCAATTTTGGACGTTTCAGTCTGGCCCAAGGAATTGAATGACGACATTTCATTTGGTGATGATGCTGTGAGTAAGTTGCTTGATTTTTTTTAAATTCTTTTGGAGAAAAATGGTTGTAAAGTTGACGAAGCATTGTTAGAGTGGGACACTCTGAAAACAATTGTTCAACCGCTCTTAAACAGTACAGAAGTTAAGTATTTGGAAGTCTGGAAACGCATTTTGACGAGTGAGTCGACCAAGAATGATTGCAAAAACATTCTTCATTTGATCGAAATTCTTCTCATCATTCCATTTACAATTGCAAAAGTTGAAAGAATGTTTTCACGCATGAATCGCGTCAAGTCAGACTGGAGAAATCGTCTGAAGCGAAGTACACTTGACGACTTACTACGAATCGGCGAGGATGGCCCATCCCTTAGTGAATTCAACCCAGATATTGCTATCGACAAGTAGTTTACCAACAAAATAAGACGACTGAAGACTGGAAAACACAACTATCCTGCTAAGAGAAAGAAAGCAGCAGATGGAAATGCGGTAACAAGTTCACAAACTGTAGATATTGCAGAGTATGTCTTGTCTGACTTGAAATCACCATCGCCATCCAGTGATGAAGATGACTCTTAAATACGAAACTAAAGTACAATATAATAGTTATACTTATTGCACCGCAAATATTCAGAGAATTATAAACAATCATTATACGGCTTTTATACAGTTATTTTTATACAGAAACAGGCGGAAAATTGCTATCCACTTTTAAAAATTTAATTCGAACACTGATACTATACACCCATTCGATTTCTTCTCTAGTGATTAATTTTTGAAGTTTACCCATCGCTCCCACGTTCTCGAGCTCATAGGGTGAAACAGCTCTCTCATAATCTAATTCTGCAACATAATCACCGTCTGCAAAAACAATACCTTCAATCCTTTGACAAATACCTCGAATTTTGGTAGTTAAATCATTGAAAGTTACTGTTAAACCTCCATCATTTTCCATCTCTTCATAACGTCGACACAGAACATTGAGAACATTTAAGAAATTTTCCAACCTTGCCAAAATTCAAGTGCATTCAAATTTCCACTGAAGATTTGACGCCTATCTTGTTGTATTTGGTTGGGCAAATCAATGAGAAACTGTTCAACATCAACTTCGTACTCCATTTCGTTTTCATTTGTAGCAGGGTTAAGTATTTCATTTAATTTATATCGCTC